ATATATATCATAGTAGTGTAAAATATTTATAACACAAGTTGCTAATCAAGCAACCAACATCAACCAGTTATATACAACAAAATATGCTACTATAAGGTAGCCTACAAAAAAAAATATCTATCTCCAGGCACCTACTGTGGCCTCTAGCAACTATCTCCAGTCTATCCCTGCCCTGCTCTCGTACAACGTATGATCATCGCAGTCCAAACCACATGGATACATACAAGGGTAAGCTATAGACAATAAATAACTCATAATAATTTAATATGCAACATAAAAACTATACATATAAACATCATTTCAACTAGCTTCAACAATATCATAGATCAACATACAACTTATAAACAAATAAGCACTTACAATATAACAGCACTATCATCATCCTCAACAAGGTCAACATACAACACAATTACAGCTTAACAACATAACAACGTATGTACTACTCATATCAACAACAAATCAACTCATTAACAACTTATGCGTCGTCACGCATTTTGACTCGGAGATCTCCTACAACATGGTAAGTAGTCTAAGTGGCTAGGTCCTACCGAACCGACAACACAGCAAATTTGGATATCAATCCACAACATGATAATGGTTTCTCAGACTTTGCCACTTAAACAAGGAAGTATAGTACTTGGTTATGAACTAAGTTCCCGACTTCGTACTTTACTCGAATTGGCCACTTGTAATCGGTATAGGCTGACCTGACCCCTATACCGTGGTCGCTTTATAATCGGTATAGCTTGACCTTGCCCCTATACCGTGATCGCTTTATAATCGGTATAGCTCGACCTTGCCCCTATACCGTGGTCGCTTTATAATCGGTATAGCTCGACCTTGCCCCTATACCGTGGTCGCTTTGTACACGTGTGCCTCAACCTTGCCCACACACGGGATCAACTAAGTCCTAGAGGAGAACAACACAACGACCACTTCAAGGGACAACTTCCCAAGGAGGGTTTTTCAACAAATCGGGCTCTTAGAGCACCACAACTATCTCAATCCACACAATGGGATGAGCAACTTCGAAAACATCTCCCCTAGTCCTAGTGATCAACAACTTATCATCACAGCTTAATTAGCTTACAACTCAATAACACAACTTTACAACAATAGGCATCTTAACAACTTCACAGCAATAGACATCTTAACAACTTTACAGCAATAGGCATCTTAACAACTTTACAGTAATAAGCAACTTAACAACTTTACAACAATAAGCAACTTAACAACTTTACAGTTCCCTCTCCAAGAAGAAGCTCAACCCGGGACTTCAATCCACCCAAAGCAAGCTTCCTAATCCAGAGTCTTTCTCTCTAAAACTTCTCTCTAAAATCTCCATTTTCCTCAACTTCCCACAACCTTTATTTATAAAAGTCTGAAGGAGCTTAGAACGGTAGATATCGCTTCTTTGAGGATACATGATTCTATTATTATATATGAATATGATCTCACCATACTTTTATTTTACCTAGCTTGAGCATAACTTTTTATTTTTGGCAGCCAATGATATGCTTCTGTTCATGCTGAAATGGTACGAGAAGTTTCCTTCCTACAGATCAAGGGAGCTGTTTCTTACTGGAGAAAGCTATGCAGGTCTAAAAAAATAATGATCTTATCCCAATTTTAATGATTTTATTTGTTGAATTGAAATTCCCAAAACTTGGTCTCGAGTTCCAAAATATTCTATATAATATAAGCTGACGTTATTTAGTTAAGATCAAAGCTTTTAATCTATTATTTTATGCACATGCAGATAACTTGCATCATCATTCTTAGCAAGGGACATGCTATGAAATTATTGCCCCAGTTTACTTTACTTTCTTTTCCTTTTGGAAAAGTGTTTTTATCAAATTATAATGATAATATATTTTGTTTATTACTAACATTTAAATGTGGTACAGGACATTATATACCACAGTTAGCTAATGCTATTTTGGACCACAATGCTAATTCAGCTGGTTTCAAATTCAATATTAAAGGAGTTGCTGTAAGATCCCTTTCATGTGATATCTTTTTGGCATTATTTTACTCATTTATTTTTGCGTTGCTTTTAGACTAGTCTCTGTTATCGTACCGCTAATATTTCAATTTGAAAGGTATTTTTCCTTGGCTTTCATTTGTTAGATTGGAAACCCACTTCTGAAAACTTGATCGTGATGCACAAGCAACTTATGAATACTTCTGGTCACATGGAATGATTTCCGATGAAGTTGGCCTTGCCATTACGAATGATTGCGATTTTGATGATTATGTTTTTTCAAGTACACAACATAATGTGTCTAAATCATGCAACAAAGCATTAAACAAAGCAGAAAAAATTGTTGGCGATTATATAAACAACTATGATGTGATTCTGGATGTTTGTTATCCATCCATAGTTGAACAAGAACTAAGATTGAAAAAGATGGTACTATGCCCCTTTCATTTCTGTTCTATGAATATTTTAAAATGTTTTTTTAATAAAATTATAAACTAATTAATTTGGTTACTATAATGCAGGCTACGAAAATAAGCATAGGTGTAGATGTCTGCATGGATTATGAAAGAAGTTTTTATTTCAACCTCCCTGAGGTTCAGAAGGCTCTGCATGAAAATCGTACCAATCTTCCGTACCAATGGAATATGTGCAGTGGGTAAGTGATTCATATTTTGGTGTTGTTATTGTATGACATGGCACTACTATCATGTGCCTATGTTGGAACTGGAAATGTTCTCAAAGTATTTATGAAGCTTCTTTTTAAAGAAACCTCTGCTACATTCATCTATGTATATTATTTATTATGCAGCTTTTTATGTTTATAATTATTGATATTCTTCCTTGCAGGTTCAAAATCTCTTGGATCATTGTTCACAACATCTTGATAAAGGTGAGACTCACCATGTCCTGCAGTGCTTGGAATTGCTGTGGTAGCTATGGCTGAAGATTTAGGACTTGACATCTTCTATAGTATGGACTGAAGTTGTTTGATGATTCTTTACAAACATTATGTAGGTTCTTGGAAACAAGTATCAAAGCAAATTGCTTGAAGTAATAGATGCTAGGTACTAAAACTTTCATTTTATAGTGATTATAAGGTGCACGCATTTGTATGGCAGAGGTATAATACTCTGAACTCATGTTCCAAGTTAAAACTTGTTTTGAATGTCAATAGGTGATAAATTTGATCGGTCTTGTCAAGTACTTTATCGGGACAATATATAGTTCCCAAATGCATTTTTTTGACGATTTAAAACTAGATTCAAAACGTATGCTTAGATGCTGAAGATATATTGGATGGATTTCAGTGCCAAAACTTAAGAAAGCAAGTTGTCAAAGCTTTAGGCAACACCAGAATGAATGTAGGCCACTTCTTTTCTTCCTCTAATTCTCTTCTTTTACGTTTTAAGATGGCTCGTCAAATAATATAAGGATGGGTGACCTTCTGAGAAGTTTCTCAAAAATTGTGTAATTAAGGACAAAACATGCTGATCATGAAAAGTGAAGTATTGTGAAATAGAATCCTTGAGAGGCCAAATATGAGTGTTTCGTAGCGACCGAATTTGTGACGTCTATAAAATTTAATAAAATAAAAAATAAATCGTTAGCGACTGATTTAGCGACTGATTTATTTGGTCACTAATTTGGTCCCCATACATATCAACGACCAAAATCATTGCAACTATTTTGCGACCGAAATTTTCGGTCGCTATATAACTTTGTGACTAGGGTTTTTGAGAGTACTTAAATTCGGTCGCTAAGGTAAATAGCGACCGATTTTAGCAATTTAGTGACAGATTTTGGTGGTCGCTAAATGCAATTTTTTTTGTAGTGTGTACAACCAAATTAATTAAATATCAAAAAGTACTTGCATCCACTACAGGTGAATATGTCTCTTCAAAATCAATACCGGGTTTTTTTGAAAAACCTTGAGCAACTAGTCTTGCTTTGTATCTCACAATTTCACCATTTTCATTTTGTTTTTGCACAAAAACCCATTTGTATCCAATTAGTTTTACACCTTTTAGTGTATGTAGTACTGGTTCAAAAACTTTTCGCTTAGCAAGCGAGTCTAATTCTACCTCAATTGGATCTTTCTGTTTTGGCCAATCATTTTTTTGTCGACAATCGTTGATGGATTTTTGGTTCTTGATCCTCAATATCATTTATTTCATTTAGCGTTATATTATATGCAAACACGTCATCAATATTGACAGTGTTTCGATTCCATCGTATTCCATTCATGACATAATTTATTGGGATCTCTTCATTTTCAATATTATCTTAGGTGTCACCTACAACAATTACGTATACGATATTTAACACCTCTAATTTTTTTTTGTTTTATAAAATAAATATTATTTATCTACCTTAAAATAATCAAAC